CTTTCTGTACCGTTATTAGCAAAGAGATAGCTGTTGGAATATGGTAGCACCAAGTCTGTAATTTAATGTGTGGCACTTATAAGTGAACACTATAGGATCACCATTTTATACAACACACTTAAATCATATTTTAGCAATAAAAGTGATTTTGGTTGAGATGCTCTGTTGGCATCTCAGTCAAATGCTAGATTGTTCTGTTATGTGTTACTATCCTTTAGCTGCTGGTTTAATTTTAGTCAGAGTCATGTGATAGGATCAAGATGTTGCATTGTCCTTCCTCCATAAAATACTAGAAATTGTTGGGAACTCTGCTATTAAAGTACTTCCTAATTGCTTCGTTTGACAAATTATTTCTGCCCCAACTCAGAGAGTGTACCTGTTCACAGCAGTGAATAAAATAGACAAAAATCCCTGTGTTTATAGTTTACATTTTAATGATTATCATTGTCAGATACTATGAAAGTTAGTTATATGCATCAATGAATATCAGTAACTTGTACAGGAAGTTGGTTTTTCTGGTTAAGGTAAGATTCATGTATTTTTCTCAAGTTTTCTTTTAAATTTTCTTTCCAGAAAAGTGCAAAAGGGACTAATACAAAATTTTGCTAGCAGATCAGCTGTGGTGATCATATTAGAAAAATACTGGTTTTGCCCTGCGTCGGGCTCTGTGCAGACAGCTCGGAGCCTGGAGCCTGCTTCAGATGATGTGTCTCTCTCTCTTTTCCTCCCCTGCTCACACTCTATCTGTCTCTCTCAAAAATACATAAACATTAAAAAAAGAGAAATACTGGCTTTGAAATAGCAATGGCAAGAATTTCTGAAACCCCTAATGATATTTCATCACACTAAATTTTTTTTTTTAAAACAATTTGGGATTGAAAATGGAATAGATCATATCTGGGTTCCCTTTTAAAATGGTAAGATGTTATTGGAAATAGATAATGAAGTAACTGCTTTCTTTTATGTGACTGTAATAACCTTGTAGATTCCCTGTAAATAACAGTTCTTTCCAGGGCCAAGGCAAGAACTTAACTCTTCCGTGTATAAAATCTTAATTTATTAGGTTTTGAGGTTATCTTACAATGTACTCTGATGCAATTTTGCTATTAAAAAAAAATTTAGTTTATTTTTTGAGAGAGAGAAAGAGCAGGGGAGGGGCAGAGAGAGAAGGAGAGAGAGAGAATCCCAAGCAGGCTCCCCACTGTCAGCACAGAACACACTGCAGGGCTCGAACCCATGAACCGTGAGGTCATGACCTGAGCTGAATTGAGAGTCGGATGCTTAACCGACTGAGCCACCCAGGTGCCTCTAATGTAATTTTACTATTAATGGGGAGTATGAGAATAATATCACTTTTGTTTAAAAGGTTTGATTCTTTTACTGACTGGCACTACGCTTCAAGATTTTATTTTTCACTTAATAAAATTTTTTTTGTGTTTGGTTCAGTAAAATGTGTTATGTGCCATCCTTTGGGATCTGAAAGTAGCGTAGTCATGTAGAACAAAATATTGGAGTAAGATTTCTTAAAATGAATGTCTACCTGCAAACCAAAAGTACATTATTTTTAACATTAGGTGCTTCTGGTCTAATCATCATTATCATCATAGCAGCTAACATTTACTGAGCTTATCCGCACCCTGCACTTGCACCATGGCATTTAATCCTCACGATTCTGTGAAATAGATACATCATACCCATCTATAAGTGAGGTAATGGTGGCTTGCAGAGGTTAATAACTTTTCAAAGTTACCAAGCGTGCAGATGGCAGTACAGAGACTTGAATCCTTACTTTCCGGTGCTGTAAATTATGCAGTCTTAGTCCCTAAAGTGTACATGTCTCAAGAATACTCCATAAGCCAAATGAAGAAGCAGTGGAGGTGGCTGTTTTGTTTCTCTTAGTTTTAAGAATTCTGGCTGCCTTTGACTTAAGAGTTTTTGGAGTAGTCAAAGAGTTCAGAAATAACAGGGCCTTATTTTCCTCTCCACCTCTGTCAAAGCCTTTGGTCTTCAGGCCTGTAGAGAACCATCCTGGATGTAACCCAACACCTTTCCCACTTTTCCCCTAACATTTACTCAGTCTTTCCAGACTTTGTCTCAGATACTGCCTTTTTAAGGGAAAAAAAAATTTTTTTGCATTTATTTAGTTTTGAGAGACAGAGACAGAGCACACATGGGGGAGGGGCAGAGAGAGAAGGAGACACAGAATCCAAAGCAGGCTCCAGGCTCAGACCTGTCAGCACAGAGCCCGATGTGGGGCTTGAACCCATGAACCGTGGGATCATGACCTAAGCTGAAGTCGGATGCTTAACCAGTGGAGCCAACCAGGCGCCTCTCAGATACTGCCTTTTTAAGGACAGCTTTTCCATATCCCAGCCCTTTCCTAACTGAATAGGCAAGAGGCAGAATTCCTGTGTGCCTTCTGTATACTTCTGCCTTAGTACCTACGTTATTGGACATAACCTCCTTGAGTGTCTGTCCTTCTTCTAGGCCATGGGCTACTTGAGGGCAGAGCCTGGTGTTTCTTAACTCTTCTCAGTGATTCCAGAGTCTGGTGTTCAGTGGATGTTCCATCAACACTTTTTAAACCGAACTGGCATTATTTCCTGAGGATGTGTACCTCTGCTCTGTAAACGTCTGTTTATTTTGTAAACGTCTGCCACAAAATAACAACTGAAATCTGACCCTGAATGCTCTTGCTTCTCTGACTGTGTCTAGGTTTGATGACCATCCCTTCTGAATCTTCCCAGCAGTCCCACACCTCGTGTCCATATCAGCACTCTCCTAGCAACACAGTGAGCTCTCATCCCCACAGCAACCAGAGCAACCTGTCCAACAATCATGGCAGTGGCCTCAGCACCACGGGCAGTAATTCAGTCGCACAGGTCTCACTGCCTCACTCCCAGATGCATACACAGCCGTCTCCACACCCATCCCATCGACCACATGGTTTACCACAGCATCCACAGCGTCCCCAGCACCCGGCATCGCACCCGCAGCAACATAGCCAGCTCCAGCCCCCTCACCCCCAGCACCCCTCTCCACATCAACACGTACAGCACCATCCGAACCATCAACATCAGCCGTTAACACATCAGGCGCCGCCACCCCCACAACAGGTATCCTGTAATTCTGGTAAGTTGGTGTCTCCTGACTTGTGTTTGGCTAACTGTGAATTAGGATATGTTCTTTGTTATCTGGGGCTTATATATATTTACTACCAAAACTTCTCTCTTCTCCTTTTGTGTTTCCTTGCTGTAATCCTGTAGTTGTAACTCACTGAATCCATACATTGTATCAGATTTTTGTGATTAAAATTTATCATCACATCGTAGGCAGACTCAGTAACCTTGTAGGTTTTGGTTTTAACTCTTGTTTGTTCTTCTGGAAAATAAGTGTTTTTGTGATCATTTGAAAGAAGAATGGGATGCATAGTCTGTCTACAATCTATTGTGATTCAGTGTGGTATAGAAGAAAGAGTATAGATTTGTGTCAGAAAAACGTGTATTTGAGTCCTCACTATGGCTCTTATGATCTTTCGTGTGTTTCTCTTAGTCTTATTATTTTCTCATCTATAAATATGGAACTAAAGTACCCTGATATACGGTGTTGTTATGAGGGTTGCATTGAGAATACAAATAGGAAATGCCTCGTCAGGTACCTAGCCTTTAAGTATTCAGAGAATGTTCCCACTCTTCCTTTCTTCGCTTATTCCTGCCAAGTATCTCATTTTAGAACGATAGATTGCAAAGGAAGAAGACATTCTTCACGTTCTCATTTTTAAAAAATCTATTGCTCTTAAGATAGGTCTTGATAGTTTCTGGTGACATGCTTAATTGACATTGCTTATAGACCAGGCATCTCTCTGTACTGCAGCACTCCCAAGGGGTGCCACAGACATAGACTACAAGGTGATTGGGGCCCTTTGGAGCTGTGCCAGAGTACAGATCCTTCCCTCAGCTTGCCTGGCTGCCCACTTAACATCTAAATCACTGATGAGATTTTTATCCTGGAGGGACAATTTCTAAGTGCTGGCCAGTGCTAGTTCTTACCAATTAGAAATTGATCATTATTTCAGGCAATTAAAAATCTGTTGAGGGGGAAGTAACCTTTAGATAGTGTATACTGTCTCTTATATTCTGACTTTGCTATAAAGCTTAAGTTTTTCTGAAATGGTTTCCTTTTTTACAAAGTAGAAAAAATATAATTTTGGGGGGGGAGAATTAAGGTACAGAAATGCATATCAGAGTACTTGAAACTTAGTTTCTTTTCATAATTTATTTTGTTTTCCCAGTTAATAACTAAGTAGGTTCTAGAATAAAGTTGAAAATTGGGTATAGTTCTTTCCTTGATGGAAGATCTCCTAAAACACCTTAAAATTATTTTTAAGTTTATGCCTAGAAAAAAAAGTATAAATATAGGCCTCTTTTGTAACTGTTAGTGTTAGTCACTATTGCCCACCTTTAAAAAAATTTTTTTTATTGAACTTGTAATTCATGCGCCATGTTACATTAGTTTTAGATGTACAACACAGTGATTCAACAACTCTACATGTTATGCTCTGTCCACAAGTATAGCTACCATCTGTCACTATACAATGCTGTTAAAATACCTACCACTGACTGTATTTCTTACACTGTACCTTTCATACCTGTGACTTGTGTCATAAAATTAGAAGCCTGTACCTCCTACTCCTCTTCACCCATTTGGCACCCCCAACCTGTTTGTTCTGTGTCTTCAGATTCCACATATAAGTGAGATCTTAATGATATTTGACTTCTCTGACTTTCTTCACTTACACTTGCCTACCTTTTAATGTCAGTGCACTCTTCAGAAAGTTAAGCTTGTTCTTAATGATTTTTTTAAAGACACTTTAAAAAAATTATTGTATTTTATTTTAGAGAGCGCTAGTGGGGGAAAAGGGCAGAGAGTGAGGGATGGGAAGAGAATGAAAATCTTAACCAGGCTCTACACCCAGCATGGAGCCTGATGGGGGGCTTGATTCCATGACCCTGGGATCATACCCTGAGGTGAAATCAAGAGTCAAATGTTCAACTGAGCCACCCAGGCACCTCGTTTTTAATATGATTTTAAGGATTGACTAATGATTGTAGAGATTTGATATCAGTAGAAGTCTGATGCTCTGGTCTTTCTTTCTATTAAATCTAATGATTGCTAGGGCAGAAAAAAGTACTATTACAGCTGAAAACACTCCATCATGTGGTCTTAGTCGCCTGTTATTATATCAGCAGTTGCTTGCAGGAGAAGGAAAGTAGCTGTTCACCTGGAGCTGTTAGGAATAATCATTTTGGCTGTGATAATAATCTCTTTGAATTAAAAATTTGTCATTCATAAGATTCATAAGATGCTAAGCAGGTTGTCTTAAATAGGGAAGGAATGGAAGAAACTAATAGTTGTTTGAGTTCCCACTATGTGGTAGGCAATTTAGATACATCATCTCATATTATCTTCCCAATTCAAGTATGAATTACCACATTTAGTAGATAGGAAAGTGTAACTCAAAAAAATTAAGTAGTTTGCTTGAGATCAGAGCTAATAAGTGGTAGAATTGGAATTTATATTGTGGCTTGTCAGGACTTCAAAGATTGTAACACCAGTAATTCCAAAAGGACTAAAATCAGTAACCATTTACTGATTTGTAGAGTTTGTTTGCCTAGCCACTCTCTTGCAGAGATTGCTTTGTGTTGCCAAGTCAGCATTTATTATAGGTTATGGACTTGAAAAAAAATTTTTTTTTTTCAATGTTTATTTATTTTTGGGACAGAGAGAGACAGAGCATGAACGGGCGAGGGGCAGAGAGAGAGGGAGACACAGAATCGGAAACAGGCTCCAGGCTCCGAGCCATCAGCCCAGAGCCTGATGCGGGGCTCGAACTCACGGACCGCGAGATCGTGACCTGGCTGAAGTCGGACGCTTAACCGACTGCGCCACCCAGGCGCCCCTATAGGTTATGGACTTGAAAGTCTGATGGACTTGAATGTTTGTGCCTCAGGGCATTATTTTTCCCCAACAAATTTCTCGCTAAATTAAGAGTTGCCTAAGGGCAGAGTCACATTGTCTCTGGTTCATTGTTTATTTGAAACAGAAGTCCATAATTGGCAGATTTTTGTAAACCAAGTAACCAGTAGTTGATAGAGAGTTATCCGTGTTACGGCAAAAAAATTCCTTTTTACTAGTTCTTACCTTTATCCACCCAGGGATGATTCTGATAACAGAATAATTCGTGCAGCAGTCACTGAAGGGAGGATTTTCTTCCTCTACTCAGTACTGCTTCATTGAGGGTAGTTCTTGCCCCATGCCCCTGAGTAGTGATCACTTTGCTGACATACAGACTGTGGAGTCTTAACCCTCCTGATGATGTCACATCAGAGCGCACTGTTCCTGACTAGAAATGCCCTGGTTTGGATTCATCAGCATTTCTTAGAGAGGTCTCCACCCTTTCTTTTGCTACTTTGCCAGGAGGACTGTATTAAGACATTTCTCTCTCCTAAGGTTGCCTTGTAAGAAATTTGTCTACTTGCTATACAATCTCATTTACCTCCCTTAAGTCACTTAAGTCAGTGCTCTAAGTTATACTGTGTTGCTTCTAAATGGGAACCTACCTCTGAGTTACAAAGAACATATCTCTTAATGTCATAACAAGACAGGAAAATGAACTTCATATAGTGGCGAGGGCAGATGTATTATTGATTTATATGACTTGTAGTGCCTGGCCATTCATTTGTACTGTACAAATGTAAAGAGCACTAACCAAGTTTGACATTTTAAGGTGATAGGGCTATTTGTGAGCTGTCAGACTAGAGCTTAGAAGCACCAGGTTCAAGTTTTGGATTCATCATGGTGACGTTGCTAAGTTATGCCATCTCTCTGGGTTCATTTTCTTTTTATTTATGGAACGAAGAGTAATAAGACCCCTCTTCCTGTTTCATAGAGATGACTGCCCCCAGCAATACATGATATTAATGTGTACAAATCCATTTGTAAAACTGGATAGGAATCTGCCAGTGTCAGGAATAAGCCCAGCTCATTATCTTCCCCTACCCTATACTTCACACTCACTATTCAAGACTTACAGTGTTGTCAATATTATTTTTATAGGTGTTTCGAATGATTGGTATGCAACACTTGATATGCTAAAAGAAAGTTGTCGAATTGCCAGCAGTGTTAATTGGTCAGATGTAGACCTTTCACAGTTCCAAGGTGAGTATTGGGTCTTTTTGACATATAACCAAATACACATGATCCTGTTTTCTCTCATAGATACAAGTTTCGTTGTGGTAGAAATAGATGTCTTCTTTTTTTTTTTTTTAACTGTTTTTTTAACGTTTATTTATTTTTGAGACAGAGAGAGACAGAGCATGAACGGGGGAGGGCCAGAGAGAGAGAGGGAGACACAGAACCTGAAGCAGGCTCCAGGCTCTGAGTTGTCAGTACAGAGCCCGACGCGGGGCTCGAACTCATGGACCGCGAGATCATGACCTGAGCCGAAGTCGGCCACTTAACCGACTGAGCCACCCAGGCGCCCCAGATATCTTCTTATCTAGTGTTTCTTTTGCAGTTGGAGTGTGCTTAAAAATTCTGCAAAATTCATAATTAAGTCCTTTAGTCAGTTGATATAGCAGAGGGTCAGACAAGAGTTCTGAAAGAAGTTTGGCCACATTTAGAATAATTAGGCTTTGAATAATTTTTAAATGTCATTTTGCATTGCATGGGAAAATCACTACCAGTAGAAATCTTGAGGGCTAAAAAAAATTGTGTCTTGTTATTTTCATTGGGATATTTGTAGAACAAACTATGCTAACTGTATTTCTAATGCTTTTCTCATAGGTTTGATGGAGAGTATGAGACAGGCAGATCTCAAGAACTGGTCTTTGGATCAGGTTCAGTTTGCTGATCTCTGTTCTTCTCTTAACCAATTCTTTACACAAACTGGCCTTATCCACTCACAGAGTAATGTTCAGCAAAATGTCTGTCATGGTGCCATGCATCCAGCAAAACCTTCCCAACACATTGGAACAGGTATGGATTTAATTAGCTTCTCGATTTTCTCTCTTTATTTGTGTGAAATTCAGTAAGTGAGGTAACTTGGTATGTTACTTGGTATATTAATGGTGACAGTGATCTGTTTGCATCTTTTTATTTTTAAGAAATGAAATGAATTCAAAGTATTTAAGGTATATTTTAGAAAAATTGAGATAAAGAGACTATATTTTTCTGTCATGATTTCTATGATTCTTTTGTTTACAATTGACTTTCCTTTGTGATCTTTTAAGTTCTCAAACAAGAATTAAATGTTTTAGATACATTTTTATAAGAATATAGTTATGAAGTTATATCAGTTTAAATGTGTATAGACTTGCAAAGAAAATCAGCATGTCTAATTTTATATATCTTCTAAGAATGTTAAGATGTAAATTTCAAAGTTTACTTGAAGAGCACATAATGGTAAATAGTCTCAGTATTTTACTCTTGACTCAAAATTTGTGCTCTGTAGTTTTCATCTCGCTTTCTTACTTTTCTCGTTACCTTTGTAGCCATCTCTGATTACAATGCCTTCTCTTTTCTCAAGTTTCTGTTCTGTAGGTGTTTAATATCCAAGTTCTTTCTTCATTTTAATTTCTTTCCACCTTTTATCTCTTAAGTTGACTTTCTGTTTGTTATTTTGGTTTTATATTTGATGCATTTTTAAAAAGTTCTCTTTTTATTTTATTTACTTATTTTGAGAGAGACAGAGACGGCATGAGTGGGGGAGGGGCAGAGAGAGGGGGAGAGAGAGAGAATCCGAAGCAGACTCTGTGCTGTCTGCACAAAGCCCAGTGCAGGACTTGAACTTACCAAACCGTGAGACTGTGACCTGAGCTGAAACCAGGAGTTGGATGCTTAACTGACTGAGGCATCCAGGTGTCGCCAAAAGTCCTTTCTTTTCTATCCTGAGTGGCTTTCTTCAACCATTATCCTAGCAAATTTCACATATTTGGTCTTCACATATTCTCAAGGTTCCCAGATCTTTCTTTTCCTGAAATCTTTATTTATGTGTCTTTTGATAGAAATCTTCCATCATCTGTGCTTCTTCCACTTGAATAGCTTACCTAACGTGAAACGCTCAGTGGCTATTTGATTTTGATGACTTACTCATTTCATAAATTATATCCAAGAACCTCATTCAGTGCTTGCCATATACCTGAATTTGTTGAGTGCCCTCTATGTGCCTGACAACTAAGCTTCATTTTTTGATAACTCTTTAGCTCCTTCCTGTCTATGTCTTTCTCTGTCACTTCCTTTTTGGTATCTTCCTGATATATACTCTATGAAAAACATTTTTTATTGTAAAAATTCACCATCCCAGTCATCCTTAAATTTATAGTTCAGTGGCGTAAAATATATTCATAACATGCAACTGTCCCCACCATCCATCTCCATAACTCTTTTCATCTTGTAAAGTGGATGATATTCTGTACTTATTAAACAAATTCCCCCCCCCCCCGCCCCACATTCTAACCATCCCTCAACCCCCTGCCAAGGCCCTGGAAGCCACTATTCTACTTTCTGTTTCTGATTTTTGACTAAGTACTTCATGTAAGTGAAACAGTATTTGTCTTTTTGTGACTGGCTTATTTCACTTCGCATCTCTTCATCCATATTGTGGCACGTTAGAATTTCCTTCCTTTTTATGGCTGTGTACTACTGCACTGTATGTGTATACCACATTTGCTTATCCACTCATCTGTTGATGAACACTTAGGATGCTTTCATGTTTTAGCTGTTGTGAATAATGTTGCTGTGAACCTGAGTGTACTGATATTTTTTCAAGGCCTGGCTTTCAGTTCTTTTGGGTGTATATCCATGTCTGGAATTGCTCGATCTTGTGGTAATTCTGTTTCTTTTCTTTTCTTTTTTTAAATATGAAATTTATTGTCGAATTGGTTTCCATACAACACCCAGTGCTCATTCCAACAGGTGCCCTCCTCAATGCCCATCACCCACCTTCCCCTCCCTCCCACCCCCCCCATCAACCCTCAGTTTATTCTCAGTTTTTAAATTTTTTTTTTTTTAACGTTTATTTTTGAGACAGAGAGAGACAGAGCATGAACAGGGGAGGGGCAGAGAGAGAGGGAGACACGGAATCTGAAGCAGGCTCCAGGCTCTGAGCCATCAGCCCAGAGCCCGACGCGGGGCTCGAACTCACGGACCGCGAGATCGTGACCTGAGCTGAAGTCGGACGCCCAACCGACTGAGCCACCCAGGCACCCCTATTCTCAGTTTTTAAGAGTCTCTTATGGTTTGGCTCTGTCCCTCTCTAACTTTTTTTTTCCCTTCCCCTCCGCCATGGTCTTCTGTTAAGTTTCTCAGGATCCATGTAAGAGTGAAAACATATGTTCTTTCTATGTATGACTTATTTCACTTAGCATAACACTCTCCGGTTCCATCCGTGTTGCTACAAAAGGTCATATTTCATTCTTTCTCATTGCCAAGTAGTATTCCATTGTGTATGTAAACCACAATTTTTCTTTATCCATTCATCAGGTGATAGACATTTAGGCTCTTGCCATCATTTGGCTATTGTTGAAAGTGCTGATATAAACATTGGGGTACAAGTGCCCCTATGCATCAGCACTCCTGTATCCTTGGGTAATTCCTAGCAGTGCTTTTGCTGGGTCATAGGGTAGATCTATTTTCAGTTTTTTGAGGAACCTCCACACTGTTTTCCAGAGTGGCTGCAACAGTTTGCATTCCCACCAACAATGCAAGAGGGTTCCCGTTTCTCCACATCCTCACCAGCATCTATAATCTCCTGATTTGTTCATTTTAGTTACTCTGACCAGTGTGAGGTGGTATCTCAGTGTGGTTTTGATTTGTATTTCCCTTATGAGGAGTGACGTTGAGCATCTTTTCATGTGCCTGTTGGCCATCCGGATGTCTTCTTTAGAGAAGTGTCTATTCATGTTTTCTGCCCATTTCTTCACTGGATTATTTGTGTTTCGGGTGTGGAGTTTGGTGAGTTCTTTACAGATTTTGGATACTAGCCCTCTGTCTGATACGTCATTTGCAAATATTTTCTCCCATTCCGTTGGTTGCCTTTTAGTTTTGTTGATTGTTTCCTTTGCAGTGCAGAAGCTTTTTATGTTGATGAGGTCCCAATAGTTCATTTTTGCTTTTAATTCCCTTGCCTTTGGATATGTGTCAAGTAAGAAATTGCTGCAGCTGAGGTCAGAGAGGTCTTTTTCTGCTTTCTCCTCTAGGGTTTTGATGGTTTCCTCTCTCACATTCAGGTCCTTTATCTATTTTGAGTTTATTTTTGTGAATGGTGTGAGAAAGTGGTCTAGTTTCAACCTTCTGCATGTTGCTGTCCAGTTCTCCCAGCACCATTTGTTAAAGAGACTGTCTTTTTTACATTGGATATTCTTTCCTGTTTTGTCAAAGACTGGTTGGCCATACTTTTGTGGGTCCAATTCTGGAGTCTCTATTCCATTCCATTGGTCTATGTGTCTGTTTTTGTGTCAATATCATGCTGTCTTGATGATTACAGCTTTGTAGTAGATGCTAAAGTCTGGGATTGTGATGCCTCCTGCTTTGGTCTTCTTCTTCAGTATCACTTGGGCTATTCGGGGTCTTTTGTGGTTCCATACAAATTTTAGGATTGCTTGTTCTAGCTTCGAGAAGAATGCTGGTGAAATTTTGATGGGGATTGCATTGAATGTGTAGATAGCTTTGGGTAGTATTGACATTTTAACTATTCTTCCAATCCATGAATGGAATGTTTTTCCATTTCTTTGTATCTTCTTCAATTTCCTTCATAAGCTTTCTATAGTTTTCAGCATACAGTTTCTTGGTTAGATTTATTCCTAGGTATTTTATGAT